AGCTAAGGCCAGAGAGTTCAGCAAGGGCGTCAGTAGCAGGTATACTGGAGGCATACGAGCGAGTTTGGAGTAACCTTGACCTTTGCAGATTACATCCTTATGCAACTGGCTGCACACCTGTACATCCCTGCGAACCTGCCTGCTGGGTAGAGCTGGTCTGAGCGCAGCATCTCCTGGGCCCTGGTTACCGAGAGACTGCCCGCCCTTCCCTGAGTAACCATGGTAACTGTCCCAGCCCTCACAGACGTGTTCCTGTGGCAGCTGCTCCTCTGGATTCCCAGGCTGAGCCGGGGTAGCACGTGTCCCACTGCAGGTGTGCATCCTGGCTGAGGGCCGGTGGAGTCACCTGAAGAGCAACTGGCAGGTACTCCACACACACTTGGTGTCTCCTGGGGAAGAGGCCTGGAGTCCACATTGTCACTGCCTGTCCAGCTGTCCTAGCGACTGCCAGGATCTGACTGATCTCTGTTACGTTCTGGGTTTAAGCAACAATCGCTGTTTTCTAGACAGAGGATGTGGGTGAGGAGCATGGCGTGTGTCTGTGGTTCCCCAGCTAAGGAACATGTGAGCGCGGTAGCGCGGGTTCTTGCCAGAAAGAGTATGAAGTGTGTGAACTGCTGCAGGAGGTGATTCCTAAGGAAATCGTACAGGTGTGTTGCCTGGCCTTCCTAAGATGAGGATTTCAGAAGTTTTTCTAGTTTGTTTTGTTACCCATCTAATCCCTTTTTCGTCATCATTATAGATTTCAGATGAGTAACGTCTGTGATGGAGTTACGCTGCGTGTCACGTCCTTACCTCTCACAGCACGCTCTTGTCGCTCATGTGGCTAAGGGAGCAGGTGCTGGGGTAACGTGCCTCTTTCAACAACGACTGGTGATGGAGCTGAGCTCTGGCCTGCTCCCAAGCATTCCCGCAGGTGCCAGATGATTCTAGAACACCACAGTTATGGAGATTAAGAGAGGGAGTGGTTCGAGTCTAGGCAGTTCGTCTGGGGGAGCCGCACTGTGATCCAGCAGGGTTAAGGTGCCACCCGTGGCATGAGCATCTGTATCACAGTCTGACGACCCAGCTTCGGGCTAACGCGCCTGAGAAAGCCGCAGAGGGTGGACCGAGAGCCTGGGTCTCTGCTACCAACAGGGGAGACCCGCCTGAAGAGCTGGGCCCGTGCTGTTTCAGTGCTTTGGGAAGTGAATCGTTAGCTGGAAGATTCCCTCTCTCTCTCTCTTGTTCTCTCTCTCTCTTATTCTCTCCCTGTCTCTGTCTTTCTGCCTTCCAAGTTCAAACAATAAATCTTTTAAGGAAAAGTCCATAGTCCATTCAGAATACAACTGTACCACAAGACGTAAGGGAGGTTTCAACTTTGGGAATAAGAGAGATTGCCCATGGAGCCCCATACTCTATTCTCACAAAGTGTGTCCCATATCCTTTGTCATTTGAGTTAAACAAATATGACTATGCTGTACAGCTAAGACAGCTGCAAATGTAAAGTGTGTCCCCTTTATATGAGTAAAATAATGTTAAAAAGTTTATGCCCGGATTATAGAGCAAGGGCTTCTGTTTCGTTGGGACTTACCTGGACCACAAACTTGGGATGAAAACTCAAGTCTTTTTTTTTTTTTTTGGTAAAATTTACTTTTATTCATTTTGAAGGCAGAGTTACAGAGAGGGAGAGCAGAGATCTTCCATTTGCTGGCTTACTGTAAATGGTGGCATGATAGCCACAGCCAGGGCTGGGCCAGGCTGCAGCCAGGAGTCAGGAGCTTCTTGTAGGTCTCACGCAGGTGCAGGCATCCAAGCATTTGGGTCACCTTCTATGGCATTCCCAGGTGCATTAGTGGGGGCTGGATTGAAGGGGAACGGCTGGGGGTGGTGCCCGTATGGGGTGCCGGCTTCTCCAGCAGCAGCTGCACCTGCTCTGCCACAAAACCAGCCCTTCACACTCAGGTGCTCTGACTCCTGGTGCAGGACTCTTTCCACAACACTCGGTGCTCAGCAGGAAGAAGTTTTGTGAAAAACACCCAGGTCCCTTTTACCTAAATGTCTGTGACTGGGGGGCAGAGGGCCGCTCCAGGAAATGCCAGAGGGGAGGGGTTTCCGCAGTTCCCCAGCCTCCTCCCTTTTGTTGCACTGCTTCCCACGTGGTTGGGAGCCGAGGCCCTGGGCGCTGCGTGGGCCGCTTCTCTGCTGCAAGGTGTTGCTTTGAAAGAGCCAATGGGAGCTCGGTCCCTCTGGGTAGATTTCAACCAAGGGGGTGTGGGATTGAGAAGAGGAGGGGGCTGGGAAATCCTGAGGTCACGAGATACGAGACAGAGATGTGGGCTTTAGGCTGTGCTGCGGAAGATGTGGCTACAGGGACAACAGGGGTCCCAGATTCCCTGATGACACCTACCCCAGGCCTTGGATCAGAGCGGATGGGAGGCCGGTGCTCGGAGCTTGGGTTGACTGACATATTCATTCATTCATGTACTATGTCCGTCATTCCTGGAGGGGCCCTGGAGGTAGAGCTGAGAATACCGTCCCAGAGGAGGCCCAGGTCTAGCACAGAAATTTGCACATATGTGACAATGATAGACACACGACATTCCACAGCAGGTGTGCACCAGAGGGCCAGGGACCAGAGACAGGGCCATCCATTCCGTACCAGGGCACACCGAGGGGCAGCAGAGTGAGGGCCGGCGGACCTGGAAATGGCCGGAACATCGGAGCAGGGCACTGTGAGGACAGGATGGCTCTGCCGCTAAACGTGCTCTTCCAGTTATCCGAGGTGCAGTGAGAGCTGGGGAACAGTGTTGGCTTGTCCAGTATGCACACAGTCCCTGTCGCCCCGGACTGGTCCCTCTGCCGCCCCCAAGTGGAGCACTCGGTGTCCCCAGGTCTCAGGGTGCACGCTGCTCCCAGCGCTGGTTTCAACAAGGGAGGAGAGGCTTGTAGCCACGGTGTGAAGCACACCTGGTGAAGACCAGGCAGGTAAACCCCGAGAAGAGAACAGATCTGCAGGATGCGCTGAGGCTCCACTGCCTTCTTTCGGTACATCCATCTAATACTGCAGGGAGTCCGCCAAGGACCCAGAGCTGCCTCCCTGTGTTCAGTGCAGGTGCACCAGTGTGGGCACAGCTCCAGAGGGCAGGCTGAGAGGGGCAGAAGAGGCAGAGGCAGGCTCTGCTTTACCGGGGCCCTGGGATGCCTGGATTTCTGGCAAAGGCAACAGCATAGCCTTTACAGACATAGGCGGTGGCAGGGCGCCCTCTGGTGCACACTGTTGATATCGCTAACCACGCACAAGGCCGTTTGCCGAGTTCCTTCAGCCTTGCCTTTTCCGCTAGCCTCAGCAAACACTGGGGGTGCTGGGAAGGTGGACAGAGTGGGGGAGTGGGGGTGCTTGGGAACGAGAAGTTGGAAGGAGGGAGGGAAGTTGCACTGCAGCAGGATTTGTGGGTGCTTTTGTTTCCGTGGAAGTTGTGCACATAATTTTTCTGGAGAAATGTCTCATAAAGGGAAATAACATTGTCTATGCTGTAGACCAGGCCAAGCCCAGTTCCTACTGTCCATGCGAAGCAGGACAGTTTCAGGCCACAGGCACAGTCTCTCCTGGGGCAGGGGGTCCTGGACTGGCGGTCACCTGCAGGAAGGACAGCTCAGGACCACTAAGGGAGTGAAATGCAGCACCGGCCGGTTGGTGGGCTCTGCTGGGATTCCGAGGTGAGCCCTGCGTCTCTCAACGGGCCCAGAGAAGAGCCTGGAAGGCTGAGGCACAGATTCCGCACAAAGGGTGAGGGGGTTCCCGTCCGCACCGTGTTCTGGGCACGGGGACCCCTTCCTGGTGGACAGACCCGCTTGGGCTGAAAATGCCTGCTGCTCCGAGGGATGGAGAGCTGACCTGGGAATTGAGGCTCACTTTGAGGCCAGCGCGTCCCAATTCCCAGGGCAGACACGGCAGGACAGGCAGGACAGCCCCACCCTAGGCCACTGGTGGAGGGGGTGGGGCTCTGTAGGGAAACCTGCACCCAGGGGATACCCCTCGGGGCCTGACCCCATTCAGACAACACAAGAACAGCTGTGATTCAGCAGGGGTTGGTGGAAACCAAAGGCATGATGCCAAATGCCATACTCTGGCTGGGATTTAAAATTGGAACCCAGAAGTACATATTCTTACTGCTTCTGAGGCAGGTTTGACCGATGCTCGGGCAGATGGGATCCAGGCACTGAGCAACAGTGAGCAAACACTGTTACCTGGCCACGCTCCTAGTTCGGTGGACCCTAAGCTCCGGCTTCCTCCAACGCCAGCACGGTCCCTTTCACTGCTTTAACTGCCTCCCCTGAAGGCAGTCCGTGTTGCTCTCAGACTGGCTGGCTCGGAGGTATCTGATCAAAGGGCAGAAGCATCGATCACATCCCTAAGCACGGTCCTGCTTTGCTCCAGTGTCCCAGCAACATGACAGAGAAGACACAGCTGCTGGCTTGGCTGCACTGGGGAGTGGCTCACCTGGGGCCACTTCCACTGCCCTCGGCCTTCTGCCCTGCTGTTCCTAAAACGAGCCTGCTCAGAAATACACCAGTCTGCAAGTGCGGTTACTAATCTGTTGAGATAACCAAGAGTGGATGTTTGAACATGACAAGATCTTATTTAAATGTGACTGGTTGATGAAACAGTCCGAGAGGGTCAGAGGAAAGAAGCAAGGTCTGTGACAGCTGGGTCAGCAAGGAGGGGCGCTGGGTGCAATCAGAGGGACATTCTGCATGGAAAAGCAGGCTGTTTCCCCCCGGAAATGTGCTCGGAGCTCAGTTTCTTGTTTGCGCCCTTCTCTTGTTGATGAGAGTCACCAGCTGGGACACAGAAAGGAGGTGGAAGATTACAAAAATCTGAGACTTGCATAAAAAAATCAAACAAATAAGAAAATGGTAAGTCACAAGGAGCTTTGGTGCTGGATTCATTCAGCAAACATTTATTGAGCGCGCATGCAGCCGCGCCTTAGTTGTGCCTCGGAGCTCAGCGTCTGCCCTCAGGGGCTTGTGCTCAGCAGCCTGGGCTTGCCTTCTGCAGTGTTTAAAGTGCAGCATCTGTTCCAGGGGTCTGAGCAAATGTCTCCCTTCTTCTCACCAGAACGGCAGAAAAAAAGTCTGCAGGTTCCATGTTGCATGAGGCAGATGCTATTCCTAATCCCAGGTGGAATATCTCCTGTGGATACAGAACAAAGTTGATATTTAATGAGTTCGTTCATGCAGCATGGGCACGGAGAATGGCTCCAGCACAAAGCCCGATTCCAGAAGTTTCCATCATTGTTAGTGAAGCTACAGGCTGATCTTGGTCTAACTGAGCTGTGTGTCTGAACTTTCAAGTGATTTACACGTCAAGCTCTGTTGGCAGGACCACTTGGCTGGTGTCAGTTCTTGCTGTCAGGGTTCTCGGGGTCCCTGGAGGTGGACAGGGACTAGGAGAAAGCAGGGAGGGCTTTGGAAAACACAACACACTGACAGAGGGCGAGCTTCAAAAACTGGACACAGAGTTCATGCTGAACGTGGGGCCTGAATTTAAATGTTATGTCCTACAATGAAAGACAGGAGACAAAGTTCTCCCTCACGACTTGTGGGCTTGTCAGCCAGGTCCAGACGCCTGGCGCTGCCTTAAGGAAGGCATTTTGGCCAACAGGTGGTGGCAAGAAGGTTCTTATTTGTATCGCCTCTGCAAATACTACACATCTCGGGTTTAAAAACCAGTCACTACACAATGCTGAGCTTGCACAATATCCTGAAGCCTTTGGGATCTGCCTCATGCCAGCCTCTCCCTGCACCACAGGCAGGATGCAGAGGTGAATTCCAGCCCCATGACGGAGAAGCCAAGAACCCAGCAACATGAGATTCTAGGTTCTCCTCATCCCACTTCTTCCAGTAATCCACTAGCTCTCCTTCAATCCAGTTAGCTGATTGCACCTTAGTTTTCCGACCTGTATAATGGATAATCTGTAAAAGCTGGGAGAATGATGCTGTAAGTGTGAGGTCCTATGATGAGCAGTTAGTCAAAGGGCAGGGGTCAACGCTTCCTTCGGACCTTGCTTTCCTAGGAATGTGGACTGCCAGAGAGCAGCTGATCTGTCCAGCTCCAGGCTGATACGATGTCTGTAATTCCCTCCCGTGGCTGTCTCAGCCTGCACCCTTCCTGCTTGCATCAGAGCTGGGATGCTCTTTTTCCTCTGTCACGGCTTTTGCAACTCGTGTTTACCTCCTAGACAGTTCTTCATAGAGGGTAATAACTCGGTCCAGAACTTAGCCACAGAGCACCCACCTGCAAGCCCTGCCCCAGCCTGTCCACCCACACACCCCAGCCATGGAGTACACAGACTCGGGGCTCCCCAGGGCCACCTCGGGGACTTTACCTGGGCTTGTTTGAATCAAGCAGAAGAAAACAGCAAAAAGAAAGAGAACCTTCATGTTTGAGGCTCCCTCGGCACTCCCCGCCTCTGGGGAGTGGCAGGCATGGCACGGGAGAGGCACAGGACGGGCCTTTATAGGGCACTTAATCTGCTCGGCTGAGTAAGGCTGTGGGCAGAGGGAGCCAGGGACTCTGCACTTTCTACCTAAAAATAGTTTTCTTGGCATTCAGAAAGGCTGTGCGTGGCCAGGAACGTGAAAAGGAAAGGGGATCAACTCCGAGGTGTGGCACCTCAGTACCAACGTCGGTTTAGATAATAAAGTGATGTAAGACACGTTCCCTGTCTGCGGTTGATATTTACTCCACCAGGGGTGAACACGTGGAGAGCCTCGGACCCAGACCCACACAGCGCGTATGCCCAACTGAAACACAGACCATGCTCCACTCCAACTCACTTACATGGTTCCTGATAGTCGTAGAGCATAGCCCACAGGTGTACTAATTACGAGAGGAACCAGACAAGCAATGTATTGCCACACAGCAATGTTTGTAAACAGGATCATTGGCCAAGAGCCGACAGTCCGTTGTTTGGGCTGAAGTTTCCAGAGCTGGGCAGATTCCGCGGAGGCAGTGAGACAGATCAGGGTGCACTCTGATCCACAGGCCTGGGGGCTTCTGTGCAAAGAGGAATTGAGGGGAAATTGTCTGAGAACTACAAGTTGCGTTTGTCTCTCTTGCTGAATAATACAATAATAAAGATAATTTTAAAAGTTACCCCAAATGTAAGCCATGAGCTAAGTCGTTATAAAATAGATGAAGAAATATGTTTATGTTTGCCAATGCAATTCAGTAGTAGTAAATCTATTAATGTTTGATATGTTTCTGCATGGAATAGTCATGAATACATATTTGGAATCTGTAAAGATGCACAAGCCATTCTGCTTGACCTTCAAGAAATTTGGCTTCCATATCAAGATCATGCCAAGTTGAAGGCATTCAACCAGTAATTACAATTTTGAGTGCATTTTGGACATAGATAACATGTAGTGATAAGATGCAGAAGTAATGGCTAAAAACATTAGCGTATGTACCCAGTATATAGGCCCATCTTGAAAAGTTACCTTGGTAAATGAAGCAATAAAATGCATGTTTTATACCTTATATATATAAAAAAAAAGTGCAGTGGTTGCTGCACTTCTCATACAGCTCCCTGCCTGTGGCCTGGGAAAGCCAGAGACGAAAGCTGTGGGACCCTGTGCCTGCATGGGAGACCCAGAAGGAGTCTCCGGTTCCTGGTCTTGGATCGACTCAGCTCTGGCTGTTGTGACTACTTGGGGAGCGAACAGGCAGATGGCAGATCTTTCTCTCTCCTTTCTGTAAATCTGATCTGCCTTTCCAACAACAATAAGTAAATCTTTAAAAAGAAAAGCATTCTGTATTGCTTGGAAAGCCTGAGTTAGGTTTTAAAATCAACACTTTTGGGAATCACATTCATTTTATAAAGAGTTATTATCTACTTTCTGTTTTAGCCTTGAGTGAGATCACTTCACATGCAATTTGGTGGCAATAAAAAGTAACAAAGCCGGAAGAATTCAAGGTTTGGAGAAGATTTGGGAACTTCATACACTGTTAGTGAGAGTACAGAACTGTGCACTTTGTAGAAAAGTAAGATTGCCCCTCAATAAATTAAATTAAATGGTGAGTTATCAATATAGATCAATTATTCTGCTCCTAATACATTCAAGAGAACTTTAGTTTGTTTTAGTTTGCTGATGCTTGTTCTATGGCACAGAGGGAACATGGGAGGCGGTCCCACGAACTGATGAAAAAGCACCTGTAGAGTGAAAGGTTCCGTGGGGATCAGTTAAGTCCGCTTGCTGTGCTGTCTGGGTGAGCTTCTGTCTCCTTGATGTGTCCACTGACGTTAGTGGGTGTTAAGATTCTCCACTATGACTGTATTTTTTCCTGTAAACTCCTTGGTATTTGTTTCGCATAGCTAGGTGCCCTGGCAATGGATGCGCATACATTCATTGTGACAATCCCCTCTTGCTGAGTGGATCTCTTAGTCACTATGTGGAGTCCTGCTTTATCTGCGTCAATGCTTTTCATGTATGATCAGATATTAGAATATCTACAGCAGCTGGCTTTTCTTTCCCATTGGCCTGGAAAATCCTTTTCAAACCTTTCGCTTTCAGTCTCCATTGACTTCCGTTGGATAGGTGTGTCTACTGCAGACAACAAATAGGGTGGGTTCTGTTTTATTATCCAGTCTGCTACTCTAAGTGTTTTGATTGATGAGTTTAAGCCAGCTATGTTCAGGAATTATATCAATAGGTAGTGACTTGGTCCTGTCATTTTAGCATTGTGTTTCTCATTGTTCGGTTTAGGGATATTTTGAGAATTACTTGAGATGTTCTCTACTTTTGCCTTTGAATTTGGTGGATGTTATTCTTTCCTTCTGTCTGTAGCACATCTTTAAGAGACATCTGTAGGGAAGGTCTGGTAGAGGTAAAATTTTTCAGTTTTTGCTTGCTTTGGAAGTACTTTATTTAATTTTCAGATACAAGTGAGAACTTTGCTGGATATGTTATTCTGGGCTGGCTTTTTTCTTTTTCCTTTTAGAACCTGGAATATGTCACTCCACTCTCGAGGCCTGTAGGATTCCCTCTGGGAGGCCAGCTGTGAGCCTGATTGGTGTTCCTCTATAAGTTAGCTGCTGTTTCTTGGTGTATTTTTAACTCACTTCCCTTTATTTTCAACTGAAGAGAGCTTGAATTTGAGATTCTGTGGAGGATCACTCCAGTCAGTTCCACTCAGGGTTCTCTGCCATGCTGTGTTTGGATTCCCTTTTGTTCTACATTTAGGGTACTTCTCACTTATTATTTCATTAAACACAACTTCTCCTTTCACACCTTCAGGAACTTCCATTACGCTTATATTGAGCCTTTAGATGCTATCACTTAATTCTTGTCTGGTTTTCTTAGCTTTACTCCATTCTCTTCCATGTTTCTGATTACTTGGACATTTTTGCATATGGTAGCTTCCACGTCTGAACTTTTCTTCTGCCTCATTCATTCTATTGTTGAAACATTCACTGCATCTTTAATTTACTGTGTTATATCCTTCATCTCTAATAAATCAGTCTGATTTCATTTTAATGTTGCTATTTCCTATATAATGCATTATATAAGTTTCTTGAATGCCTCTTTGTGCTTTTCACTGTCTTTAAAAAGCTTTATACCAATTTTTAAAAATTTGTATCTGGAAGCTCCTTGATGCCTTCCTCCTTTAACTCTGAGGTCGGCATAGCCTTGTGCTCCTCTGCAGGGAAGGCATTGATAACCTCATTCATTGTGCTTGTGCCTCTTTTGTCCTTGGTCACTGCATCTCAATTAGTGGAGTGTTCTTCTTGGGGCTGATTTTTAAGTTGTGTCATTCATAAGCCTACAGATCAACTTACTGATCCTACTCAGTGCCTAGGTCTCTGCCTCTCTCATGCCACTCCCTCCAGGGGGGTTTAGCCCTAGACTCCCGTCTGTGTTTCTGTCATCACTTCTCCCATGGCGTGACTGCGTCATTGTCTGCTCAGTGTCATCACTTCCACAGACGGCTCTGCCCCCTGTGCTCCCATGGTGTGGCTGCATCACTGTCTGCTTGGATCTTTCTCCCACTGATTTTTCTAGGAATTCGCAGATTTAGAGCAGCACTGGTTTTGACTTTAAACTAGATCACAGGTCTGTCAGTGGTGCCCATCTCATGAATATTTTCCCTCATCTTGCTAGAACATGATAATAGTTAGGTCTCGGGGATCCTGGATCTATTTTGGATGGAACTCGTGGGACGCCAAGTTGATGTTTTCACGGTGGGGACAGTGCAATGAGTTGAGCCAGATGTTGGTTCTCCCTTGGTTTAGCGCATGTGCAATTTCCTGTTGTCCCCCAGGGGCTTTGCTACAGAACTCAAAATGATGCCTGGTGACCTGGTAGGAGGTGACCCTTAAATCTACTCCATTCCTACACCCATCCAAAAGGGATCCACCACTCTGCAAGCTTGTGGAAAAATGAAAAATTGCTTTGGTGTAACAGCTTTTTGAAATTCATGCATATGAGAAATTTTCAACAAATTCAAGGGAAGTATATATTATGAAAATTATGATTGAATTTCAAAATGTTTTGCAGTGAGATTGTTTTTAATGTAATTATGTTTGAACTTAAAATTATTTAATTTTTAAAATTTATTTGAAAGAAAGAGAGATGTGGGGACAGAGAGAGAAAGAGAAGGAAATTGCAGGTACTGATTTATTCTGCAAATGTTCATAAAGCCTGGGGGCTGGGTCAGATTGAAATCAGGGGCCCGTGATTCCATCTGATTCTCTCCAGTTGGTGACAAGAGTTTAGGCGCTGGAGCCATCATCTGCTTTCCGGGATGCGCTAGCAGTGGGCTGGATCCAAAGCAGAGGAGCTGGCATGGGGAACCACCAGTCCTGCTCTTCATAAACAAAGGCCCCTCATTCATATCGTCAATGAACAGATGCTCAAAGAGAAATTTATCTGTGAACATTGATGTCAATATCATTCACAGCCGATGAGAGGTGCAGACACTGAAAACTTGGATCAGTTGACGAACAGAGTGTAATATGTCAACATGACACAGTATTGTTGAGCTTGAAAAATGAATTAAAGTTAAGAAGGTATGATTCCCTCAGAGAATCCAGGTATGAAGTGCTGCACATCGTATGAGTTCATTTTTTCAAACATGTGAATCTGATGACGCAAGCTAATGGTTATCGGTGAATGGTCAGGGAGCAGAAATGGGAATGTCTGTTGTCAGGAATGGCCTCTTCTCCCGGGCAGATGCCAGCACCCTGGCACTAACCAGTGGTGATGCCTGCACAGCACTGTGAGTATCCTCTATGCCACCGGGTGGATTGGAAAAATGTCCATTTCTTATGTATATTTCACCATAACAACAAAACAAACCAGCAGTTCTGAAATCACACATTGTCACTGAATGAGCCATCAGCAATCACATTGTAAAAATCTCCCTCTTTCTAGAAAAA